GGGGGGGAAAAATAAACAACTCCTGGTGTAAGGTGTAACTAATGAAGTGACCAGTGATAAAATATGGCACACAGATATTTTGATGAGAAAAGCAACTGCACTATAAATTGGTTGATACTGGTAGTTCTTATAGCCTTTTGATATTAAAACCTCTCTGGTTTTACGTATAAGCAAGTTTCAGTGACCTAACCTCATGCTGATCGTCTTGTTTTTCACACACAAACACTTCCTCCAGCTCTAAGTTGAGGCCCTCGACGCTCCGTCGCAGCCGTGGAGCAAGTCTGTTCAGCGGCATCAGCGGCATCGTCTGAGGAGAAACGAGTATAATACGGACAAATTTTGAGGTAGCCTAAGCCTGATTATCTGGTTTTTCACTATTGCAATTGTTAATAGTGCATGTGAACAGTACAGAGTGATATGCTCGTTTCAAACTGTCTTTCAGAGACAGCATGGCAGTAGCACGGCAGACTTGATGACAGCCAGTACTAAAAAAAGAACAAGTGTTTTTTATATCCCTGTTACCAAGCTCCTCCTCGTCTGCCTGTGGAACACAGTCTGGCATTGGGAGCAATCATGAAAACTTTGTTGTATGTGTCCTTTAATAACCTAATTGGACAAAAGGCTACCTGAGTGACTCCTGCTGCATGACCTGCAGGCAGGGGGTGGGGGGGGAGCTCGCATCCTGCTGAGGGAGGGACATGGCGGGACCGCTTCTGCAACTGGTGTCTCAGCTTGGCCACCTGAGGGCAGAGTGGAGAGAAAAATGATTCAGGGGTCATTGTGATTCATTCAAGGTTAAGGTTCAAAGTTTGCCCTGAAGGAACCCTTTTGTTTCAGGCTATCAATGGGAGGCCAAAGAGAAGAAGAGTGTGGGTATGTGAGAGAAATAGAAGAAATGATTCATTAACTGCTTTGGTGTATACAATACTTGCCTCCCTTAGGTGCTCTGCACTGCCCCAAGAAGCTGAGCGCTTGTGCCCACCAGCACTTCGTCTTCCCCGGGTTTCCTCTGCCCAGGAACTTGGAGTCTTAAA